AATCTATTAGTGCTTATTAGGCTTTCTAAAACCAAACCAAAAATAAACCTGAAAATTGCAGCATCCTTAAAATGAAGAGTAAATTCTAATATTAAGAATCAAAGGCAGATTTCCATCAATAAAATTGGAAACTTCTGCATAAGAACTATATTTTATGAACATAAAAGAGAGCACACCTGATTTCCACTTATGTCCTGGAGTGAAGTTCAACAGAGGTTAGACTCCCCTTCACTGCCTGAGCAAAATTCTCTGTACTTCAGCAGTTCCTATGATCCCAGCAGTAAAGTCTTCTGGCAGGTTTCTATCATCTCATTTCAAACAAACTTCATTTCCTTTCTGTGCATTTTTGATAAAGTATATCTAAATCTCAAGGCTAACACAAAAGCACTATCTGCCCATATATGCTTCCTGATATTCACTCACTTAAAACTAAGATAACCCAATTCTAACACTTCACATTGAACTTACAGTTAGAGCATAAATTCCTACACACCACATATTGCAAGCTTGGCTGTATTTTTTGCAAGATAAGAACAAAATAGATTTAAACTTCTGATTTTTTTCAGCTTTATGTTTTCTGAGTTTACTGGGTATACTGGAATTAAGTTTATATCGATACAGTTCTCCTTGAACAATATATCCAATTCTATTTGTCAGGACAGAGATCATCAGTTAGCTATAGTATTTACTTTAAAAAAATGTAACAGGTACAGACTTCACTATTATTCAGTTCATATAGAAAACTTTCAAGAAGTTTTGCTTTTTTCACACTCCTTTCTTTCCTCAATGAGAAAATGAATATAGTAGATCCTTGTGAATACGTCATACTTTTTATTGGTCTTTGTTACCCAAATGTGTACCTTTTTTTCTCTGCTTAAATTTATAACTTTAGCAATCATACTTTTGTAGGAAAAGAATTGTCTTAGGAGAATAGTTCATTGTGTCTCCAGGCTTCCTCTTCCTCCTTACAAAACATAACCCAGAAAGCAGTGAAGGGAAGGCAGAGGAGTGGCACATATTCCCAGGATCACTGTGTCCTTCTGAATGAATATCTCAGAAAGAACATGCGAAATGAAGCAGTGTAAAAAAAGGCACAGCCACAGAATGGTTTGGGAGCTCATAAAGGAAGGGTTCTCAATTTTCCTCCAATTTATGTTTAACACAATTGTTAACCAGTCTCAGCTACAGTTTGCCTCTATCCTGATGAAAGCCATGTAATACCAAAATAAAACTGGTTTTTAAAATCTCCCTTTTAAATTTTATTATTTTTGTATGCCTTTTAGAATTATTTCACCATTTCAGATAAATCTTACATTTACCTTCTTTATCTTACTTTCACCTGCAAAGAATCACCTTTCTGCAATTTTGTTTAAGAGAGACTTTTGAGCAGCATGAATGTTTCAAAGACAAAGACCATCTGTGACATTTTACAATAATGAAAAGTAAATCCAAATTCTGCCAATGTTTTATATTATTTAATAGACTGATTACTTACTTATCTTAAAGGATATCACAACCTTTTTTCTTGTATTATTAAGTGTTAAAATTGGAACATTTAAGCAGTTATAATAATTTGTAGTTAAAGAGTACGAAAAAGGTCCCCACTGAAAGGCTGAGAGAGGCGTTACCAGCAAAGCGTGATAGGCAAGAATATTCTAAAGAGACACTCCAAGACTCAGACTTATAATGTTTTGAAGTTGGAAAGTATATTCAACATGGCAAACGTGGCCTTTAATTTAGAGTTTTTAAGGCTAGAGTTGTTTCCCAATGATATTGTTGGAAAGTGCACCAATAGGTCATGCAGCATAAATCTGTCTTCAATGCCTGAGAAATGCCAAAATTTTGTCTGGTTGTTACTAGCACTTGAAGCATGTGGCATTCCAAGCAGGCATATAATTTTGGTTGAGGAATTATTTGCTGGTTTAAATGGAGTGAACCAAACCAAAAGTGAACGACTGTGACGGAAATGTTACAGGCATAAGAATGTTTTGATGGTAAGCCTTTCTACTGCCAATATAGTTTAAATACTCAGTGTAAACTGTCTCA